ACTCTAGGATGCAGGTACATTCAGCTGACGAGTTCCAAATAAGACGAAACAGGTGCAGATGGCTTCATCTGTGTAGCGTAACCGTAATCTAGATACTTGATATAGATTCTTTGGAACTTGATACGCAACAGATACAGAACCTCTTTGACCAAAAATTCACATTATATCAATATACTCCGCTTTTTTTCATTATTATTTAAACTTGTGTTAATTTAACTCGGTATTTTATTGATTTGCTTTCTAAAAAAGCAACTTAAACTTGATAGCGAAAGGCCGGAAATTCTACTGCCTACACATTGGGATATCAGGAATATGAACTTGTTGCCTTAAGTCACAAGCTTTATTAGCACAGATGGATAGAGGCTAGCAGTGTAATCCAGGACGCGCGTTTCGTCCTGTTTGAGACTCGTCAACTGAATGTATCTGCATCCCACATATACCAACAAGGGACTGATCAATTGCAGTCTTAAACAACAATCAGAAGATATAACCAAACAACATCAAGTGAAATTATTTTATTACTTACAATGTTCCCGATGTCCAATCTATTTAAAACTATCATGTCTAACTTTGTTAATGATACTCAGAAGTTTTCATACGTATTAACGGTCATGACTGTTCAAATCATTATCTAAGTGATCAAATTAACTTGTATATATTTCAAAAGAAAAAAATTACTCATCAATTGACAGATTATGAAATTGAAGTTATTTTATTCGAATACAAACTGATAAACCGAAATAGTAGTGAGTTGTTAGCTAACACATAAGAATAATTCCGTACATCATAACCCTTTAATAAATAAATAAATAGGACTTATTAGGAGTCATGAAGTTGATAGGATCAAATAAGTCAATGATTGTTCACCCGAGTTTATCATAAAGAACATTGGAAGACTAATAAAACTGTTCTTGAGAAATTCTATTTTAATTAATCGACATAAAAGTTTTTTCTACTAATTGTTTTGGTTAATGTATTGAAGCATTCATTGATAATAGTTCAGTGATTAATGATTACGTGACTAGTTAACTACTATTGCTTTGAAATAAAAATAATATATTTGTAATATCACAATGAGTAGAAAATTGGATTTTTCTGACGTTTCCAAGTTTGAATAGTTCTGTTGTATTATTTAAATTTAGATTAATTTTAATTTGGTTATTTATTCTCTGAAGAAGTGACCTATACTAAGTCACGAAACGTCAGAAAAATCCAATTTTCTACTCATTGAGATATTACAAATATATTATTTTTATTTATAACAATCAACCCAATGCTCAATTTATTCGAAATAATCAAATCATACTATTGCTTTTGTTTTGTGTCGCATAAAGATAGCTACTATGAGGGATAAATTGTGATGCTTTAGACATTAACATAAATATGGTTGTTGGTAGACGTTTTAAATGTGTGGACACATGTTAAACTTGTTATCTTATCAAATACGAAACAAACCACATATCTCTTGCCTTGTATATCACTTGGCAGAGTGAGGCACCAGTTTATTAAAAGAACATATACAAATGTTAATCGCCGATATAAAGATTTCTTAGTTTATTTATTTGTAAAGAAATAGTATTTAGTAAACCGTTTATTATTATTATCGTTAAATGAAACACTACCGGAATAATTTCGATAACATTCAGGAATCATCTCATAATCTATAACTGATTGTTTATTAGTATCTCAATCATCTTACAGAACCTGACGGATTAGTTAGAACTTGAATAGTATTTCTTACAAAGTGTAAACCTGTAAATTGGATCCAAATGAGTTCCTAAATACACTAATACTACTACTATATACGTTTTCATGAAGGTTTTTAAGTAGTATCGTGATTCTTAGTTTTACACACAGTGTTTTATTAACAACTTTTCTATTTTACAAAATGTTTCACAAATGTTTATTTCGACTAAATCAATACTGATTTCCATAGTTACAAGGGAAAAAATTTATCAGAACAGGTTGTATTAAGAAACTTCGTTAAACTTGTTGAACCATACAATTCTGATTAGTCATTCATCGTTCTTTTTTTTTCTTCTATATGAAAGTATATTGTGAAACATTGAATTGTTCGCCTCTTTCTCCCTTTCTCTCTCGCTCTCTATCTTTCTCCCTTCAATACATACATCATTATTTGTGTGTTACTATTAAACTGTAATATTGGTTTTCTTATGATTATCCATAGATTAGTATTATTCTGTTCTATTTTTTTCAATAGACAACATAAGGTTTTATTACAGACGTGAACTTTATTATTAATACCATTTATTAATAATTGTATTATAGTATTTTCATTGAATAAATCATTGATTCATATTTCTAACCGAAAAGAAAAAAACTATATATATCCTTGTATTAACTTCTAATTATAACTTTGTTTAGTATCAGAAGAGGTTTTGGTGAAGATTGTTGTAATTTCGATAGTAAATATCATGAGTCAATTGAAGTTAGATCACTATGGAAAACATGGGAGCACTAGACAGGCATTTCGTTGTATTGTGGGACTCATCAGTAATGTGCACTGCTGATATAACTTTGTTGTCAAGTTAAAATATTCTATTGAATTTCAATGATTCAATTCTTTAGAAGGTGAATTTAGTTGATTTAATTTTTTAAAAAAAAGATCAGTTCAGTTTAATACTGATTTCAGTTGAAGAGAAGTGGATAACTACTTATACTGTTTCGTAATGCTTATTAATGAGTTTACCAGTGATTGAATGAAAAAACACTAGGTTAGGTATCACACAATTCACAATGATGTATTGATTAATCATTTATCATTCCTGATACCTAACTAGTTGATAATTGATGTTTAGTTCAATGATCGCAAAAGTCATCTTCTAATTTAATCAAACGATATTGTTTAATAAATAAAAAGAGTAATGTAATTATAATAGTTTTATATCCTTCTTAAACACAATGACTTCAGTATAGTCATAGTCAGTATAAAGTAATTTTTGAAGAAAATTTATGATTAATTTTCTGAATACTGTATGAAGACTTAGTTTCTAGTTACAAACTATCAGCTAATTATTTATAGTGAGAAGAACTGACCAGTGGAGTTTAACCGGGTTTGTTGTGAAATAGTCACTCACCAAAGAAAATGGTGGATGAGTCGCTCAATTTTGTGAATTAGTTGAAATCACATATTAGCACCGTTGGATGCCGGCCGGCTCAGTGGCCTAGTGGTTAAGCGCTCAGGAGCAAGAGTGATAGGTTCTGGGTTCAGATCTCGCAAGGCGGGATCGTGGATGTGCACTTCTGGGGACTCCCATACTAGGACGAAATGGCCGTCCGATGCTTTCAGGTTTTCCATAGTTTTTCATGATCTCAACTATTAAAATTAATTGTCTTGTGTTAAAGTAATCACAATTCTACTCTCGCCATTTGTCGTCAGTATGACTAATGATTCTTGATAGTGTAAATAAATGAAAAGACGACATGGTTAATTATTTTGTAATTATTCGTACTGAAGTTTGAGAATATCAATGATTAGCTATTTCCAGTTAAAATGGTTACTTTTATTCCTAGATTCAGTTAAATACCCTGAAAATGAATAACAACAAAATATACACCAATTATTCCAAATATAAATACAATCTATTAACAAAAGAGAGAGACAATGCGTTCAGGATCCACGTATCCCAAAGTAAGATTTGTCAATTTTAGTCATTAACACAAACAATGAAAGAAAGATTCAGACCATTACATTCAGACTATATTCAGACCTTGTCATAGGTGAGATGAAACTGGTGAATTTTATTCACTCGTTCTCAAATAATGTGAAGGTTTCTTTTCATTTTCGATGTAAATCATACGTCAAAAATGGGATAAAATAGAAAGAAACTTTATCATTGGATATAAAACGTATCCTTTCCTCCTCTTCGTCTTCTTCTTATCATTATTATTATTATTATTATCATCATCATCATCATCATCATTATTATTCTAGTTTTGTGTTTAACCAACGTCTTTTGTATAAATTGCAACATGATTACGTTATGGCAGTTAATTAGATTATTTGCCAATCTAAAATGTAATGTAACATTTGTAAATAAATGTTACTTATAAATGATGTAAAGAAACAAACTGTATATAAATGACTAAATCTCTATAATTCCTGTACAGTAAATGAAACTGATTAGCCAGTGATCAAATATTGATTTGTAGCCTATTTTTTTAAAAATTTCATCAATTAACTGGAAACACGAGAGACTGTATGCAAAATAGTCAGCTAATTGTATTCGATAAGTGTTTTGCGATAAAATTACACATTTAACCTTTTAGTTAACGCTAAGTAAAATAACTATGCAAATTACAGAAATTGATCATTAGTTAAAAAATACGATAAGTTGGCACGAAACCTACGCATTCTTCTATTGATTGGTCGGTTCCAATTGGCAGATATCTAACAACATAAGAATAAATAACAAAAAAATACAATTGAATCACTATTCTGGGACGAATTAGATGGGAAAATGCAAGAAAGAAAAATATACAAATCAATACTTCCATAGTTTAAAATACGAACTGATTACAATTGGACCATCATCAAAAATCAGGAGAGACTGAGCAGTTGTTCTATCCTAACTTGGGGCTCTTCAGTAGTGAGGACCCACCACAGGGAACCGAGCGCAGGATATCTTGTCTCGCGCGCGAACACCACCTTCTGACCACTGGTGTGGTACATGTATAACCTCAATCATATCACGATACTGATCGACCACTTGACAGGAAGAGAGGCAGACCAAAGAGCATGTTGAGCAGAGAATAGAACGTAGACATCGAGACCATGAATAGCGCTTTGTAATAACTGGAAATGTGAGCTCAGGATAGCGTTGGTCGGAAATCCCTGGTAGGAGTTCTATCCGTCAAGAGAAGTAATAGTCATGAGTAAGTACAGTTTTTTAGAACAATATCATTCGGCAAAGTTGGACGACGATCAAGATTAAAGCTTAACATTACTTTTCTTCTTTATTTTAATCTGTTTTTTTTAGCTCCGTTCGTAACAATTGTGGTTTGTTGCTGTATACTGACAACATTTTTTCTATTGGTTCTTTTTCTCCGATGTCGGTAAGTATTTTTCAATATTTAAAAATATCAGGAAACGTTATTCTTTATTATTCTATGGTATGTCATTTTTGTTGATCCGCTTCACTTTTCACCCGACCCTAGCTACTACTACCTATCGCAATAACTTAATCAGACTATATTAGCTAGAGCACTTGTTCCTTTGTGCTTGTTCCTTTGGGTTTTCCTTCAGCAGGCAGATTGGTTGGGGGAAACGATGAGACTAGAATCAGCAACTGGAACTAATGTACATCTGTTTCAGGTCCTATATTACATTTGACCGACAGTTTATCTTCTCAACAAAGTTTCTCTAAAGTAAGCGCTGGTGATATACAGATGAACAATGCACCCAGTTCAGAGATCACTACAACTCCCACATATTTCTCTTGAGCCATATATATTTTTTATCCTCTTAATCCAAATCACAATGACACTTAATTGTTCAAAAATATTTTAAAAAGTCAGAATTTCATAATGAGTAATAACTGGATAAGATGCTTAATATTTCACTGACTTGACAAGAAAATACTGACAATTAGATTTTAATTCAAAGTATATTGCTTGGTTGTAAAGTAAAACAGATTCAGTTATTTATATTTTACAATGATAACTGATTACTTTTTGGCAGTAAAGAATTTACCGCAGAAGTATACATTATTCTGGTAACTTCAGTCGTTAATTGTTAGTTGCGTAACATCTGATTTCGTGTTATTATTGAATAATAGCATGATGTTTCTTCCTTCTTAATTCACTTTTATTTTCCTACTTGCACTTAACTTAATTTTCTGTAGTCAGTATTATGTAATCTAAAGACTTTCAACTCTATTACAATTCTTGATTTCCAGTACAATGAATACAAAAAATATTATATAAATTAGTCGAATACTATTAACGATTCACTATTTCTAACCTTATTCAGTACTTCTATAATGTGTGCTATTGATGTCGACAGACATAAGTAGTATGTATCATGAATAGAAAATGAAACGTCTAGCGACACAATTTTAAGAATATTGAAGAAAAGAGAACGAGAACAGAGAATGATTGCTGTAGAAGCGAAGAAACAATGAAGTTTGAGATGATTGATTGACATTTTTCAAACAAAGTATTTACTATATGGTTCTCAGATTTTATTTACATGTTCTGTAATTATCTATATACATACATTCAATTCACCTCACCTGTATTCCCATTCACTATACTTTTCTTTAAATGTAGTGAAAAAGCATGAAAACCGTTGTTTTTCTATGTTTAATAATAATAATAATAGTGGTAATAGTAATATGAATTTCGGATGTAGGCGGGTGAATAACAAATTCATAAAATAAATTAATTTCTATCATTTTGTTTTGAACATTATTTTGTCAGTCTTACGATATATTCATAAGTATGTAATAGAAGAGAACTGGAACTAACAACATGAAAAACTTGAATCTGAGACAGTAAGATTTGGGATGATTTCTTATATAAGCATATTTGCGAATTGAAATAAAAGTAATAATCATAACTCTGAGGTTTCATCATTAATTTATTTAACTTTACTTTGATTGTGATATACTAATTAAATGATTTTACGATAAGATACAACATTTAAACATCCAAACTTATTTTAACAGTCACTGACATGTTCTACACTTTTATTGAAACAATTTTTAATATAAGATGATCATGTGAGTATCAGCTATTTATGCATACAGATAAACATAGTTCTATTTTGATTAAACGTATCAATAATCAATGCTTGATACCCTCAAGGATCCTTATTACTTGTAAATACATTGATTAGCTTCGGAGTAAAATATTTTCAAACACATTTGAATATAATAGATGAAACGGAGCTAGGAGTGGAATATAGAATTTTGGTTTCATTTGATTTGCGACTCGTCAAGCTTGATGTTCATGCCTCTATTGAGACTCAATACCCATCGCTTCAGTTATCTAATGCCCTACCTAGTTCATTACTTATTCTAAAATAACCACTTTCTTGTTCAATAGGTATTAATTAAATTTGTATTGTATTATATATTGTAGCTGGTGCTTAAGTTGGTAAATATATATTTTGTGTGGATTGTCTCAATATGGTATTCAGTCACAAATATTTCTAAGTACAGTTAGATAGTGACTGATAGTGAAATCTAAGACTCCGGGTGAACATCAGCACTAAGATGCAAGTGTATTCAACTAACGAATACTGAATGGAGGAAAACGCCCGTCCTGAAATCCATTGTAAGCCATATTAAATCTATTTTATAAAAACTTCTATCATATTGGATAAATCAAGTCAGTTCCCACAGTATGCAACACATCAGCAGCAGGATAGTTCAAGCTAAATATACATTGACTTGTTTAAAACTATTTTCGTTTCCATAACTATCGTAAATGTCCCCACAATCTTCTTCATTTTTTGTGTCTCGCGTTATCTCACAGTTACGTGAGTAGATGTACATATTTATTAAACTGTGGAGTATTTATACTCTGTTTAACAGTTTTAAAAGAGATTCTTCCTATCGAGGTGGGGTTACTTATACCATACTCAACTCTCATCCTTTACTATGGCTTAAGACTGACAGTAATCCTAGAAGACTCCAGGTGACATTAAAAACTTTAGTGGGTCCAAGTTTTCTTTAAAAATATAGAACTGAAGTGTAATTCACTAACAAAATGATTTTTCAAAATAAAACTCCTTAAAAATGTATTACTATTTTAGAGTAGTTCAGTACAAACTAAAAAAACTTTTTTCTGTATATACCGAAAGATTGTACGAAGGTTTACAACAGATTGGGATTCTTTCAAAACGCTTTTTTAGAAACCATTCACAAAATATTAAATATTTTGATTACAATCCCACTCCCTATTTGTTTCTTCGAAATCTCTAGGATATTGTATTTTTCTTTTTGTCGACAATATTTTCTAACATACAATTGATTTGTAGACAAACAACTCATTAGTAATTATAAAAGATATTCGTTGATTGTTTATATATATATATATATATATATATATATATATATATATATATATATATATATATATATATATATAGATAGATAGAGTTTATTTGGATTCTCTAGGGAAACTGGCAAAGAAAATATTCGTAGCTTTAAAGCTATATTTCACTAATGATTCACTTGTTAGTTACTATTCATCATGAAAAATAAAGAGAATATGTTTTCCCATTTTTTTTACGATTTGTATCTAATTAAGTATAGAATGAATAGATTTGACTATATACTCCGAAATTGATACATAGAATAACCATATATTTTGTTTCAAAAATATGTGGATTGATAAAGTTTAAGATGATGGTTGAAGGTAATCAACAGAGAACCTGGACCCGGGTTTCGTGCTATTTGGCACTCGTCAGCAAGATGTACCTATAATCTTGAGGAATAGAAGGCTTCTAAGCAAGTAGGTCAATGATTTCATCGTGAACACGAACCGATCTGCGTAAGATAACTATTGGAAATCTGGAAGTACCAGATAGATGTGTCTTCTTAATATAGTACTCCTCAGCAATGCGCATACACGATCTTCTCCAGCAGGAGTAGAGCTCACGACTGACTTTTTTATTTACATTATTATTTTTTATAGCAAACACCATCTATATATTGACGTCAAATAAACGAAAGCGTTGATGTACATCATCAGTTTCTTTCTTTACCTTTGAACAATGATCTTCTTAATCAACATACCATTCAAGGTATTGTTGATTCGAATATATCCCACGACTTATAACTCATTATACTAAAATAACTTTTTCTCTTGGATAACAACCAGTTTAATAATATCATTAAGCATTTTGGGTATTTCAGTTATAGACTAAAGTTAAACTGTAAAGCTTTTATCGATTCATTATAGAGGTTAATGTGTAATTGAAACTTGAATGGTATATGTAATGCAAATGTTTCTTTATCCTGAAATAGAAAGATAAAGATTTTCTACTTTCCAATTTGTGTTTTCATGTAAGTTTACATATTTCAATTTTCTTTATCTAAGTAAGTTTTAAAAGTTCATTAAGGTTGAATTTTTAATTATGACCTTGAGGAACGTGCTAACCGTATGAAATTCAGTTTTCTAAAAGCTTCAACCCTTTATTGTGTGATAATTATGGAATAGGACTAAATAAAGTTCTTAGAATAAATGTAGAACTTAATGACATAATATAGAAAAGTGTGTAGTTTAATTGGCATAACAACTGAGTACAATCAATGGCAGGTTTACTGCTCAAAAGGTTTCTTACTAAAAGAGATTGATTGTTGTCAATTTATAATCAATGAAAAATGTACCGAGGAATTGTATTATGATTCTAGAAACCAACTGAAATAAACTAGATCAATGTCAATCATCTTAAGAAGTAATTATTACTGAGCACATATTCATGTCTTCAGAACTCAGATAGTTGTTCAGTAAAAATAAAGATGAATAGTAATGAAACACTGTAATCACTTTCAAATATTCACACATAAAAACAGTTTTAACGGCTTTATATCTGTCTCCTGATAGATTGTTTCTGATTCCTATTGAAATATACATGTCGCCAATCCTCGTATATAGACATTGACTTAACTCGTTTTGGTAAATAAGGGAATTAAATAAGTTGAATACGAAAATAGATGACGCTCAATGGAGAACGCGAGCGAGCTAACTCAATTTAATCAAGCGTTAATCAATATTTATAGTCACACAAAAATAAGTTAAAAACATGTGATGAGTAAGATAAGCATTCGGCACACATATGATCACATAAAAAAAACAGTCAAGGTTGATAACCAAATAAGTGATAAGGCCATAATTTAGCTTGAGAAGAATGGACTAATTGGTCTGGCCAAAAACTCGAATAGGCTATGACGACTATATATAGTGCCAGCCACTACACGGTTATCGTCCAAATATAAATTCTGTTTGAAGTTATGAGGACTAAATGTATATCGTGACAGAAAACATTTTGGTTGTATGTAATATTCACATGTTCTATTCTGAAGTTTTTTTTATTTTGACGAACA